AAAAATGAGTTGAATCAATCCAAAAAGATAATAGGAATCATTAATGTAAAGATGTATTTGCTAGTTCAAGAGCAAAATTCAACAAAATAATGTTGGCCTCTACCGTGATTAAGACAATAAGAGTAATTTTCATAGCATAAGATTTATGACGCTTATCCTTAGTTTATTTTTATTTAGCCACCTTTGTTTGACTTCTTTCTTTTTCATGATTTGACCTAAGGATGGATTTTCTACCGCCCTTTCAATAGATATATCATTATCTGTGCTGATAGATGGTTAGAATCTTTTATAATTTGGCATTTGCTTCAAGCAATATTTTTGAACTAACGAGTTAAAATTATATTTATTTCCATTCACTTCACGGATGTGGAAATTTGGCTTTTAAGCATTTGCCACAACACTATACTAAAAAATCTTTAAATTAATAATAAGGATTGCCAAACACTCACCGCTATTTCAGGAAAAAAAATGATATAATTTCTCAAATATCCAATACAGATTTTCAAGCACTCACTACTACTTCAGGAGCATAAGACACTCATTAATACTCTAAGAACAAGAGGATATATATATTGTCAAATACCCATTGTCACTTCAGAAGCAGAAACAAAAAATAAAAATGGAGAATTGGTAGATGAAGAAAGGAAGTATATGAAGATCAAAGCATGAACTCTTGGGAAACCATAAGAATATTATCAAATTATAATTCACTAATCTTTCATATAAGTTTTGTCTTTATATAAGACTCTGTACATGAATAAAGGTGTAAATACACTTCGATACAGTTGTATAGTGATTACATGGTATATCAAAAGTTATGAAAAATCAAATGATGATCCACACATCATAAAACATATGAAAGGCCAAAGGTCATCCACATATTAAAATACATATTTTATAAGAATATTAGCTAATTTATTTAACAAATTCAAATCTTTTATCCCATCGGGACATTTGATCCGTAGTAACAGTTTGAAATATGTTGGTAGGCGAATGCACACTCTTAAGGACTATGAGTTAGATATGTGATCTGTGATACTCCATATAACCAAAAAATTTAATTTGAGCATGGAAATATTTATTTTGATAGCTACTTAGATTATTAAATTCGGATGGGTAATGAAGAAGGAATTAAGTAATTACCCGTTTAATTAGCTAAGAATTTGTATTAGTAGTTGCTAGTACTCAGACAAAAAAAACTCACTTAAATCTATGGAATTAAGTCGAGTAATTAGTGGGTGAATTACTTTGACCCTATGATTTATAGGAACAGATTCACTTACCACCAAAAAAGTTTACCACTCTTACAACCAATTCAATCACCGTTGATTTTTGTCAATCTAACGGTTATAATCTATTGAAAATTAATAGCATTTATTGTGTCATATTTATTAATTAATTATTAATTTCTAATAAATTATAACCGTTAGATTGACGGAAATCAATGGTGATTAAATTGATTATAAGAGTGATAAACTTTTTTGATGGTAAATATATCCTGCCCAATGATTTATTTAGTTGAGGACTGAAACTAAGCTACCTAATTTAATTAGACTTTTCAAAATTTAGAACCAACCCTCTTAAACCCAAACAAGTGGCTAGTATCTAATTTTTATTTCTTTCCTTACACTCATTTTTATCTCTTATAATTCCACACGCTTAGCATAGAGGAAGCGGTCTGGTGGTAAGAAATCTCTTTTTTGTTGCATTCTTTTTCTTTTAGCTTTAGAGCATTTTTCGAATCTCCTCAGTATCACTTTTGGGAGGAGTTTAAAGCCTTAATCCTGGACCCGCCCCGAATCAGACTAATCGCGAAGCTCTGAACCGATGGAATATTTCCAAAAAAAAAAAAGAGCATTTTGATTGCCTCACTTGTGAGAGCACTAATCTCCTTTCTGCGGTTTAGGTTCGGCTACCTCAAGTTTAGGAAGAAGGGAGGTGCCTAGCCAAGGAAACAAAGACCAACAACTTGCAAATAGTGGTGAAGGATCGGCTCTAGGTAAGAGGGACTTAATTAATGTGTTATACAATACATTTTCTTACAGCCTAGTAACATGAGTAAATATGGGACCAATCTGATATCTGTTTGTATGAGACTGAATGACATGTTTGCATTGCTGCATTTTATTGAAAGCAGTGGCGGAGCCACGTTGGCTTGAGCCAGTTCTTTGTCCTTAACTGATTTTCAAAAATTAGCCACGTTTTATACATGGTTAAATGACTGTAGCACTAGGCTACATACAGGAAAGTATTTAGTATGGCATCGGCTAATTTTTTTTCTCGGGATGGGTTACTATGCGGGCTCCGCCGCTGATTGAAAGGATCAAATTCTGTCATTGAGTTATGAGGTAATCACAAATTTGTGTTGTCATATACGGTGGAAATCGACAATCACACAAAATTGAGAAAACAGAACAGAGAAAAGAGTAGAGAGATTGACACGATGATTTATCCTATTTCACCCAATATAGGCTACGTCCAGCTTGTCTGTACTATATTCACCTCACCGCCACTGGTTACAAGTCACTCGATTTACAAAAAAAATATAAATAGGATTAGAGAACCCTAATAACAGCTATTCATGGGCCCAAGCCCAAACTGCTAAGAAAATTACAATAAATCAGAGGCCCACAATAATACCTAGTCTCTATCCTAGTTGCCTTTCTGCTGACCCCGACAACAAGGACATTCATCAGCATGCGACGTATGAGCTATACCCAACAATATATTTGCCGTAAAATTTCTGTTTTTCTGAGTTGCTGACGCTGTAAATATATGAGTTCTCTGTCTTTCACGTGGAAGTAACGAACCTTGGCCCGGTTCTCTGTTTATGGAGAAGGTAAGACTCCATTCTGGAACTCTGAATGGCACTGCCTCTGCTCTGAATTATTGCCTTGTTGGCAGTTATTTTGGTTCCAACTGCTGGATTCATTTACGTTCTTGTTCTGTAATGAATTTATTGTACACTGATCTTGTATCAAGTTCCCCCTTACTGAGATTCAACATCTCACTCCCCTTTATGGGCTGCAATCTGCAGGAGAAGATAAAAGAAAGACAAAAATATAGGTGTGAAGAATTGAACAAGGGACTGCATATTTTCCATGATTATTTTTCTTTTTGTTAACTACTATGATGTAAAGAACTGAACTAGTTGTAGTTTAAATCATGGATTTGATGTACTCTGTAAGACATGTTATTTTGAGCAAAGAGGTGTAACTAGGACTGTATGGAAGTTTATTAAGCCCCAAAATGAATCTCTAGCTCCTACTTGAAGTTGGTTGTAAAATATTAGTACTAATATATCAGTCTGCAACTTTTCAGCTTTGACCACCTTCTGTCTTTTGAACATAACATGAGTTGGAGTCCTCTGAATTTTGTGAAACTGGTTGCAAATCAAAGATAACTCTCTAATCTTTCAATCTGGAAATTTTCAGAATGTTTGAATATCCCTAGCAACTGCAGTTCAATGGGAAAGTTGGTTGCATATTACTATTACCTGTCAAAAAATTTCTGATGAAACAGTCAACTTTCCCAGAGCATAACTCTATCTAGGGACCTCCAATTGATGTGATTCTAGTTGCATTTGAAAGATTAGGCGAGCTACATTATTGTATTATTTTTAATATACATCCCCAACATTAATTACAGGATAAAAAACATAATTAAACCGCATTAATAACATAGAAAAAATGTTTGTTGACATTTTAAGTGGAACGACTGTTATTTTGGTGGTTTTTTATCTTCTTTTTTTCCACAATACTCCTTTTCTTTCTCCTCTTAATTTTATAGAGGAGAGAAAGCAAAAAATCACTAATACATCAAAACACAATAGTCTCACTTAAAATAACATAAAATTATGTCCTTTAAAATAATAAATAATTTTTCCAATAAAATGAACAAATTTCATCAACATTTTTAATAACATGAACAATTAGGATTAAATTTGTGAATTTTAAAGGTTTCGAAAAAAATAAAACCAAATATAATTGTAAGACGAAAATGAAATATATAATAAAGTTATACTTTTTGCCTTAATTATTTAATTTTACTATTTTTACCACAGCAAACCACCGGTGTAAAGTGACGAGTAGGGGTGTAAATAGATCAGGTTAGCCCAGTCTAGCCAACGACCCGGCCTACATTGAGCCCGGCTCAGGCCCGGTCTTTCAGAAAAATAGAGTAAGCTTAGGCTTATAAAAAAAAATTTAACAAATAGGCCATAGGCCAATTTTGTCAAGTCCGGCCTACAGCCTTGTAGGCTGGCCTATTTAATTTATTAAAATAAAATAATAAAATAATATTATTTTATGTGGCAAAGACGCAAAGTACCAAATACCAATACCAACCCTAATTGATGGTGGTTTAAAGATTTTTAGATGAATGACATTCTGTTGTAGACTTTATTTCAGCATTCAGTAATTGTATTTTTCTTATTTTTTCTATTTCATTGACTCTATTCATCTATGATATACATTCTAGAGCTGATGTATTATGTTGACTCTTTCTTGTTTGTCATTTTTTTCTTATGAGAAGTACTAGTGCTAGTGCATGCATGAATAGAACTTTCTTTGCTCTATACAATTATTTTTTTTGCTTAGTATCTACAGTGAGAGGCCTACAAGGCCTGTAGGCTATGTCAGACTTTCTTATTTTTAAAAATAGGCCAGGTTTGGCCTACAAATAAAGCCTTTAGTAGGCCAGATAGGCTAAATTTTTTTGGCGTAGGCTTGGGCCAGGAAGGCCAAAGCCCAACCCATTTACACCCTGGTGACGAGTTGAGGACCATTCCTTTAGTGTCCTGCAATAAAAACCAGAGACGCCAGCCACTAAATGCATTCGGGTACTATATTAGACATTATCTAAAACGCTATCATCTCAAGAATATAATAATAAGCAATGACAAATGAACAACCATGGTCTCTATATTTTTTTATGCCCATGATCATGCTTTAATTTAAAAAACTCCAAACATCATCCTTTTAAAAGCAAAATCACACGCACTAGCACATAATGATTACTCCATAAAGAAGTTGAAAGCAATAATTACATTCACAAGCTGTCCTCTATATTCTATGGACATGATACCTCAAACTACAAGAAAAAGGACGAAAAGGCTGTTTACAGTTCATATCCCGTAATTTGTGTCATATCCCTCCAAGGCAAAAAAACACAGCATAATGTGGGATAAAAGACTATAGGTACGTGGCATAGGATTCAAAACTGTTTTGAATACATATTGACCCCATTGGACTATAAGAAGGTTTATTTACATGCTAAAACATAAAACATTGTAAAACGAAGTACTGGTGAATTCTAGTAGCTACCATAGGTGGTTGCCATTTACATGTTGCCAAGGGTGCTGGCTGTGGAGCCATGGCACAAGTGTTGCTACTGTACATGATTTAGCTGCTTTCACATGTCTCCCAAGATGCACTTTGGCAGCGTCTTTTCCTCAAGCTCACCTGAAAATGAATGGGATAATCAGTATTGGTCATTAAGCAACATAACAATCCCCAAGTAGTTACACTATGACCAATCAATATGAAAATGAAGGTACCATTAAAAAAAAAAAAAAAAGATGTACAAGGCTCCCCGACTTGCAACGATTGGAGTGAGAGTCAATTGTATGCAGCCTTACCCTTATATTTTTGCAAATTTTTGCAAAGAGGCTATTTTCCAGACTCGAACCTGTGACCTTCCGGTCACAAGGAATAACCTTAACGCTGCTCCAAGGCTCACATTCTAATTATGTAGGTAGTGTGTTATTAGTTAAACAACAGTAACAAATACAAGAAATATTCCAGGACCTTAAGTATCTTAAGTTGTTATTATGTATAAGAAATGTTGATACACAAGAGAATATTATTTCAAACAAAAAAATTTCACTGGTGAGTAACCACAGCTTTTGAATTCGACCTTGATAACTATGCTTTTGAGTTTTGATGCTTTCTTTTTGTAGAGGGTTGGATGGTTAAGAAGAGAACTGGAAGCATTGAGCACAGACAGAGTTACAGGTACACTTAATGACAAAAGGAAATTTAAGAAAGAGGTTCAGACATAAAGCTATGCAATGGATATGTGCAAGAACGGCTGGTAATGAAAGGAAATCGAAATCATAAACTCTTTCCACATACTGAATTTGTAGTTGTGGAATCATATTAAATTCAAGCATAAGAAACCGTTATATACTAGAAAGAAGGTACAAATACAATCATCACATATAGTCAACAACAACAGATGACCATGACTAGAGAATTGTTTCACATACATGCTTCTAAGACTAAGTTGTTCTTGATAAAAATTTGAATGGTGGTAATGGTAGATAACAAGTAGTAAATTATACCTTAGATGATGAAGGGGGCAAGGAAGCCCCACGCACTGGGTTTCTTAACTGTTTAATTTGTTGAAGATGGTTTGCTATCTCCTCCAGAAGCTTAAACTGACGTTTTTCACTTTCAACATTCTCCGCAAATAAAGTCAATTTTTCTTTTTCATGTTTTACCATTCTCAGCCTTTCTCCAAGAATTTCAATCTCATTGTCAATCTTTAACTTTTCATTATGAACTGCTGATGAAGAATCGCTTTCAGAATCAAAAGGCAAAGTTTTGCATCTTGAATTATAGAACATGGATAATTGACTAGTTGGGCCATCATCACTATTCTCATTTTCTGTCTTGCTTGTCCTTGGACAATTACTCACTGTATTAGTGCTCGGTACTGCTACAATTCCAAATTCAAGATAACTGTTTCTGGATTCATTTGAAACAGTACTAAATAAAGAGCTGCTTAACTTTTCATTTTCCTCTTCTCTAAGTTTTATGTTGTCATCTACAACATGAACATCAAGAACATCAGGTTCAGTATCATAAAAAGAGCTATGTATATCACTGTGCATTTGATCCTTGTGTTCTGTGTTTTTCTCCAGCTCTTCTTCCTCTTCTGTATCGATACAAGTTTGAGTAATCATATAATTTGAGGAAATATTTGATGCTTCATCTTTCTTAACAATTGATATGGTGCTTTCACTCTGCAGTGGATCTTCATGTGTTTCAACTGAAAGTGGAGGTCTTTGTCCCCATTCATCAAGCAGCAGCTTTGGCTTGTCATTTGACTGGTCACTTCCATTCAAATCCATCTGCCTATAAGCTTCAAGCTCCTTTTCCAGAAAGTGATTCTCCCTTTCCCTTCTTATAAGGATCTCTTCCAGAATATTCATCTCTTCTTCATCATAAGAGACTCTTTCTTCTATCATCCTCAGGTATTGTCTCATTTCCATTTCCACTGATGCCTTCTCCTCCTGCAGACGTGATATCATAGCCATGGCTTCATCAGCTGCAGTAGCAGCTGCAGCTCTCTCCTTTTCTAGCTCTAGGTAAAGAGCAGCATAGGCAGCTTTCTCTTCTTCAAGTGCGTTTTCCAACATCTTGATACAGTTCTCTTCATTTCGAACAATCTGGACATTGTCTTGCTCATTACTCATGTAGTGTTCCAATGAAGATGATTTTTTGTCCTGTCCTGGACTAACAGCTGCAGCTGTCTCCTTTTCTAGCTCTAGGTAAAGAGCAGCATAGGCAGCTTTCTCTTCTTCAAGCGCGTTTTCCAACATCTTGATACGGTTCTCTTCATTTCGAACAATCTGGACATTGTCTTGCTCTTTACTCATGCAGTGTTCCAATGGAGATGATTTTTTGTCCTGTCCTGGACTAGCAGCTGCAGCTCTCTCCTTTTCTAGCTCTAGGTAAAGAGCAGCATACGCAGCTTTCTCTTCTTCAAGTGCGTTTTCCAACATCTTGATACGGTTCTCTTCATTTCGAACAATCTGGACATTGTCTTGCTCTTTACTCATGTAGTGTTCCAATGAAGATGATTTTTTGTCCTGTCCTGGACTAGCAGCTGCAGCTCTCTCCTTTTCTAGCACTAGGTAAAGAGCAGCATAGGCAGCTTTCTCTTCTTCGAGTTCATTTTCCAACATCTTGATTCGCTTCTCTTCATTTCGAACAATCTGGACATTGTGTTGCACATTACTCATGTAGTGTTCCAGTGTTGATGAATATTTTTCCAGTACTGGACTATCAACCATTGATCCATCAAATTCATAACTATGACAGGACTTTTCACACAAATCATGACCTGTTTGGGCACCTTCATCGTCTAAATAGCAGGATGGAAAAATACAGCAAGTTAAAAGCCAATATCTAGTATGCATAAAATAATAAAAATACATTGAATACTTGTTCAAAACGAATATAAGATTCAACTTGTTATGCCTTGACAAAATCATTTATCATTATAATCACAAGATGTTGAACTTGGCAGTTTGCAAGAGTCATAAATATTCTAACATGTGGGAGCTAGTATAGCATATATTAGAAAGACTGCAAATTCACATTAACAATAAGTGACTTCAATTGAAATCATTGAATGAACGATAATCATGTTAATAATTTCTCACTTACCGAGCACACTAACTTCTTTCCCTGAAGCAGGATTTACGCTTTCACTGATTTTATCTCTAATTATACTGCCATAACAAGGCAAGCAGGAAGAGAGGCCAACATCAGACTGCAGATTATCAGAAGGAATAACCATAGAGGCTTTTCCACAATCATAATTACCCTTTCTCCTGCGCCTAATCCCAGACCTTCGTTTCAGACTCATGATCCTCTTTCCCTTAGCATCATACCCGTTTTCCTTATCAACTAAGGAAAGCAAACGTGGTCCTGAAAATGAACTACAAGATGCTTCATCTTCCAAATCAACAAGCCTATTATCAGATACTTTCTCTGCAACCATTTTGTCATTGGCATTGCATGAATGACACTTCACCCTAACCAGATCAAAAGGAAACCTTTTAGCCGCCATCACTTGAATGGAGCATATCTTCCTTGAAGGCCACTCAAAGAGTATTTTGTGCAGACAGAAGTTACTACTCTTAAACCCAAAACTCCCCTTGCAGGGACAAGGAAAGTAAAGTCCAAAAAACCAGAAGAATTTGGAAGCAAAGAAAGCAATAGCTGATCCACAGAGCAAGAAATAAGCAACAAAAAGGTCAATAAAGGCTCCAATAAGTCCTCCCAGTGTCCAAGAATGAATTTCCTGCAAAGCCATCTTCCCTTGAAGAACTCAGAAACCAAGTACTCTCTCAAGAAGCAATTAACCATCACAAGTGCCAAAAGAGCTGATGAACATATTAAAGACCCACCAAGCAAAATCCAAAATTTTCACATACCCAAATCTAAAAATCCCCAATCAAAAGCAACCATAGAACAAAAAAACCAAATTGACAAAAGGATTCAGATCAAAGCAGGTAGCAGAACAACTTGAAGAAGAAAGCAAGAATACAAAAGAAACCCAAGATCATGCATTCATGCTTTGAAGAAATTACCAACTCACAATCAAAACTCAACCCTTTTCTTCTCCCTACTTTTGAAAATGATTACAGAAGCTTGGTGCATAGAAAAAGGAACCTGGTTTGGAGATAAAGTTGGCGGTTCAAACTTCGAAGTTTAGACTAAAGATTAACAAGAGTACTTGCAGGGATGAGAAAAAAAAAAAAAAAAAAAAAACACAATAAAAAAACCCAGAAAAGAATCAAAAGAACACTAAAGATTTGATGAAAGAATTTGAAATTTCCATTTGATGTTAAGGCTTGTAGAATAATCTAATGCAAACCACTAACGTTCCAACCAAATTCATCATTTTTTTGGTACAAAGACTGCGACTTTTGCTTAAGGGAAAGTTAGCAGCTACCCACAGGAAAGAAACGACGTCGTTTGCTATCTCTTCCAAACTTGCCACGTGGCAATGGAGTGTAATGTGTAAGCATTTATTAGCTTTTCCCCCAGTGAGCTGTATCTTGTCCCATGCAGCTATGAATCTATGATGGACTAAACGAAGTTTCGAGTTTCAACTCATAATCAAATGTATTTTATAAAAACAAAAGGAAACGTGAAATGATGCCAAAAATAAATTACCTACGCCGCAATGCCGAAATCTTTAGCGGAGGTATGCGCCGAAAGATAGGCCTTCAGTTATCATATGGTTCTCAATTTGTATTTTGCCACGAAAATAAAAAATTGTGGGGTTAATATTAACTAATGAAAAAGAATTATTGCTTATAGTCCTTCTAGCATTTTTTTAAAATTTATTTTTGTATAATTAATTAGGAAAAAGTATATATTCTTTTAAAAGATGATCGTTTTAAAAGAGAGAAAGAGATATATCATAAAAAAAAAAAAAAATTCCATGATTTATCTCTTTTTTTCTTTTAAAAGGACATAATTTTATATCATTCAAAAGGACACATACTTTTTCCAATAAATTAAGAGTTTGATGTTTATCCTTTTAAAAGATATATAATTATAGAAAAAAATATTTCCCCAGTCACGGGAGATAAAGTTATTTTCAGTGAGCTCAAAACGACGTCGTTTTGGTATTATAAGATTAAAAAATTATAATGATAAGACTAAAATAATCCTGCAATATATTATAATTACAAAAATATCTTGATTTCCACCCAAAATGACGTCATTTTGGGCTCACTGGAGATAACTTATCTCCATTGAGTGGAGAAATCTTTTACTCATAATTATACTAAGGATTCACTTTTTTGCAGTTATTGCATAAGTCCAATACGACGTCAATTTGGGGCAAAAATCATGGTATTTTTGTAATTTTAATTTATTTCAGGATTATTATAGTCTTTATAATTATAATTTTATAATATTTCAATCTTAAAACGACGTCATTTTAGAAGTAAATGCAGATAACTTATCTGCATTAACTGCAGAAATATTTTTCTGTTATACTATTTTAAATGAGAAAAAGAAATACATAATAAAAATCATGGAAGGAGAAAATGAAAGTTTTTTAATTTAAATTTTAAATAAAAAATATTAGTTTTAACTAAAATAACCATCATTTAAAAGAATAAATATTTCCTCACCAAAAAAAAAAAAAGAATAAATATTTTTTTCATAAATTAATTATGAAATATTTTAGAATGAATTAATTTTTTTAGTTTATTTTCTATCTATAACACCCTACTTTATATATATAACGCCCTATGTGCATCCGGTACATTACTACTCTATGATTTCATTACAGTAATGAGGAAGAACGGAACCCATACAAAACTTTACTCTCGAAGATCATGATAAACGCTATCATTAAAGTAAATTGAGAGTAAACTGATTAGTACTAATAATTCAAGTCTCATCTAACAAATCCAAACAAAATTGCAGCAATGATTGATTCCGACGACAAAAGTAATGGAAAACAGATCTGACAGTGTGCAATTGATGTAAATTTGGGAATGCTTGGCTGCCCCAAAAATTCTGATATTTGGAGACAAGAAACTAGATATTTGGCGCTTTTACAAAGATATTTCATTTGTTTAATTTGGTTAAGAATTGAAGGAGTTATGCCTTTTTTAAGTGGACTTCTAATTTATGTATACAACAGAGATATAGTTCTCTGGCGGTCATGATTCCATGCAAAACTGGGAATGTATCTTATTCCCATTGAAAACACCATATATTTTTTGTTGTTGAACAACCAATTTGATATAGACTTGGTGTGTGCAGCCACTGTTAACTAACAGGTGCCAAAGAAACATTGAAAGAGTTGATGAATAATAGGAGTCAACATCTTAGATTCAAGGTTAAATAAGATTTAATCAATCAAATCTTATATATCATAAGCTTGCTTCAGTTTAACATCTCATGCATGATATATATAATAATGTTGTGTATCTGTGAAGAATTATATTGTTTTTGTTTGTACTTTTAAATAAGCATTTTTTTTAATTTTTATTAAACAGTCTATTTTTTTAATAATGGTATTTCTATGGCTGCCCCCTATGTATCATCAGTCATCTCATCCTTTTTATAAAAATTAATCACTGTCGTTCGTTAAAAAAATATGAAAATCAAGGGCTCAAGTTCTATTCACTGTTTCTCTCCATATATTCGAGAAAGCTTCACCCAAAAAGAAAACATACTTCAGGACGAACTATTCTCCAATAGATCTACCCACGAGTCAACTAAAATATCTTTATGTTTGCAGCCGGTGGCGGACCGAGGAAATTATATGACGGGGGACAAAAATTTATCTTACTATTATAAAAAGACAATGCCAGTTTTGCTTTGATGATCACACTAAGAATACAAAAATACTTGTTAAGAAGAACCTAATAAAATTACATAATCTTTTGCCAATTTTTTGGTTAGAATGTCAATTTTTTGCTTCTCGTGACAATGGTGCAATACACTCTCTATTTCAATGAGGAACTAGTCTTAAGACCCTGTATTTTGTTTGTAAGATCTATTTTTAATTGTTTACCTTCATGCCTTATAGTGTTATAGTTGCACTTTCTTTGATTTCTTCAGAATCTTATTTTTTTACTTAGCTATTATTTAGCATAAGACACAGTAAATTAATTAATGTGTTATTTATATTTAGCATTTGGTCCCAACTAATAATTGATAACTATTACTGACATTTTTCCTTTGCCAACAAAGTCAAAACGTAAATACTCTTCTCCTTAGTTCTAACATGACAATCTGTACAAATTTTTAATGATTATAAAAAGAAAATTAGATAATCAATCAATATAAAATTAAATTATAGACAAATTTGATAGGTAGAGCGAATATGCATTACTAACTAAACTTTTCTTTATATACAACGGAAAAGCAAGCTTTCCACATTGATTGGGGAGGGTAGCAGACCAAGAACAAAATCTGTCATATATGCTGGCAGGTTAAATTTGATAAATAATAGTTATCAATTGAGTGCAATGAACGAATGGAACACTTTTTTATAAATAGTATCGCTTGTCTTTCACTTTTTATAAGCACTTTCAAAATTTTGTTTTTACAGACCATGTTGAATATCATATAGTAGAACATATTTTCATATTTTAGAGGGAGCGGGGGCCCACCCTAGCCCCCCATGTAGGTTCGCCCATGTTTGCAGCTCACGAGAACTCTATCTTGCATCTCCATGCAAGTAGCTAAGTTGTGCTAGTCTTATCCAATATCACCAATGCCCATTCTCGATATATCTAGATTATGAACATATTTCTAGCAATGAACGTGTGGTGTTATTGGGTCTCATGATCGTGATCTCTATCACAGATTCTCAATAACACACTCGTTCCATTCCAAGAGCTTTATCCAATTACTCATATTCAATATAAATATATAATATTTGAGACATGCAATATGAAACAAGATAAAAATATTTTTATTCATAATAATAATGAAGTAAATGGTCCATTTCACTCTTAGATGATCTCTGATACACCTATATATTAATATCATGATGAGGGATTCACTTGTCTAACTTAACTCATTGATAATGATATGAAGTCGGACTCCGCCTGAAGATGCCTGACACCACCATCTAGCCATCTAGAATTGAGGTCAATGAGTCCTAAATATATTTAAAACAATTCAGCTCGACCCAACGGAAAAACAAAGAAAATCTAAAAGATGGACAAAAAATGTTGCACCTAATTCTCCTCTTGCGTTTTTGAGCTCTCATTCTCTATCACTTTTAGACTGTGGCTACTGCCCTTGTTTTGCATGTGGAAACCTAGTATTCGTTATTTGGGCTAGACAATTAGAACCTATGTGAAAAAGGCCCAACAACTTGTACTTAAATATTTTGATTTTTCGGATCCTTCTTAGTTCCAATCCAACTCGCTTCTTTTAAAAGCAAAATATTATATTTCATTTATGAAATTGGGAAAACAAAAGTATATTGTTGAAACATTCATCTTTTATCTGGTAAAATAAATCTTTTCATCTCATATGAAGCAAAATAGATGTTTTCAAGACTTCAAAACTTTACGTTAGACCTTTTAGTTTTTCATAGACTAATGAAAACATTAAAAAACAATGGGTTTTATTTTTCTTATGTTGCATGAGATAAGTTGTCTCATGGAACACACAAAAAGTAAGTGGAACCCACTTTTTTATTTTCTCTCTCTTCCTTTTTAGTAGGTCCCATTTATTTTTTTTGTATTGCATGAGACAACTTGTCTCATGCAACATAAAAAAAATAAAACCCAAAAATAATATTGGCTAGTGAGGATTTGCCAGGTGGAGGAAAACTTTCTAGTTAGGGTAAAATTTACCACCTCATTTGTATAAGTATAATTTTGAAAATAAATATATTTCTACAATAAATTTCATTACTTTACATATTTTAAATAATACTTTAACAATATTATTTGATGAAAGTTTAAACAAAAAATACAGAATTCAATCCCTTACAAAAAGCACCTATATTAGTCCTTTTTGAAGAACTAATGTGAGTCTTCTTTAAATTTTTGAGGAACCACAATTTTAAAGAACTGAAATTTCATAAGACCATAAGTCAAAAAAATTTATAAAAGATTAAAATGAGTTCTGTGTTTTTTTGTTGAGGACCTAAAAGAGTATTTATTTACTCTTAAAAAATAAACAAATAACTGACAAAATACAATAGGTTTTTTTATTTTTCTATTGAATGTTATTAAAAAAAGGAAGAGTGTTTATCCTTTTAAATGACACAACTTATATCCTTTCAATCTCACAAAGAGGTAGGACCCACACTTTTTTTTTTTTTTTTGTCAACTCTTTCTCCTCCTTTATCTATCTCTTTTTCTCTCTTAAAATGATACAACTTT